TTTTGGTGTGTATTCGTATCAGAATAAGGAGATGGAATGACTATTGGTGGACCATCTCAGTTGACTTACTTACAGGATGTCGTCGTTTGTAGGACTCGCCCTCTGCCACGGCACTTGACTTGGAACCGGACCAGCAGACGAGCTTTAAATGGTGGCAAGTCGATCTGCCCAAGATGCTGCAAGTGAAGCTCAAGGACGCTGGATGGGGCTGGTAAGATGTCTTAACCCGGGATCGAACCGGGGACCTTTCGGTGTGTAGGTCAGGTCATCTCGCGGTTGACCGTGTTGTTGGCGATGCTGTTTGTCAAGTATTTCAAGAGACGGAAGGTATCCCTTATTACCTCCACTCTCGAGATTGGCGTATTTCCATTTCAGGAATGTTCATGAATATACGAGTTGACGTACGGCCATACCGCAGTTGTGTGTTTATTGTCTTCGGCGCTGAGGACTATACCATTGCGAGTTACTCACTACGCAACAACTCTGACAATTCTATGTGGGTTCGACAGGCCCATACTAGGGTAGGATCAGGCCTTATTGTTGGCGTCGATTCTGTATTTTCAGGCCTATTTCATACCACTCCTCCGCCACTCTTCAACTCCCTTTGCCTGGTATGAGCCGACCAAGCCTAAGAAACTGGAGATTCTGTTAGACCCCGCCTCGAAAAGGAGTGAGTCGAGGCCTGGCCTTCACCACGTGGTGGGAAGTTGCGCACTTACCTTTAGGCACTATTGTTGACTTCATACCAGAACAAAGCAACAGTCAGGCGTCAGCTGCGAGGGCCTCGGCTCAGAGTGGCGGGCCTAGTGCTCCAGCGTTCGAGCATTCTGGTGTATTAGTAGCACCCCTCAGAGGCCGCAGTCAAAGACTCCAGTATAAGGTTACGAGCAGTGGACCAACTAAGGTCTTCATCCTCTATAATGAGTGAGCTTACGCTGTATCATTGATAATGTATACTTGCTGTCGCAGTGCTATCGGAACAGGGGTGTCTCGTCTGGCATTGCCTGCCGGGCCTATTCGGGCGGGCCCTGATAGAGGACAACGACCATTAACTGGGAGTAAACGTCAAGATAGAGCAGTAGATTCTGTGTAGGGCGAGCGCTCTTTTGTCGGATCGATGGATATTTGACAAATTATGGCCTTCTGTGATCAGTTACCGAGCAGAATTCAAGGGTATAGGTGTATCATTGATCGGACCAGTGCGAGGTCGGCCCAGGAGCGAGCTACTGTTTGCTGGTATCATCGGCATTGAAGGCGTTGCTAGTATAAAGCATCACCACAGGTCTGCCATGCATTGTATGATTATCGTGCCGTGATTGAAATTCTCTTGCCTCAGGGATTTCCATCTAGCCGTACAAGATATTAGAGTGGATAATCAGAACCTCAGTGCAGTGTATCCCGTCATGTTCGCCCGTTCCTCGACAGGTGCCACACTGTTGGTCCTCGTATTGGTTGTTGACCATGTCTATGTGTTGGTGACAGTATGAAAATTCTGAGGAATTTTAGGGAAATTATCGTTGGTTTCTTTACATGCCTACCCGAATTAGTCTATAATTTAAAATTATAATAATTATAAATGATAAATTATAAATATAATTATATAATTATAAATAATTATGAAAAATTATTAATTTTTCATAATTAGTGAGCGAATTCGTGAGCTCAGCTGAGGAAAGCGAGCATATATTTCATCACGGGTGTCTGTTGTCAGGGAACCCACGGTCACAGCAGCAGCAACAACAAGGAGCCCCACAGAGAGCATCTCATCCGATGCTGGAAGTCGCTGCTTCGTTGAGAGATATAGAAGCCAGTTTGACGTAAAAAGGTCCCGAGTTCGATTCCTGGCCGCAGTATTTTTTCTCAGATATTTCGATAACCTGAGCATTCTCGTGCAGGAGTCTGAACTGGCATTTGACTTCGGCTTCATATTCGACATGGTGAGTATAGCGGCAGTATTGAAACTCTCACTAACTCCCCTTAGGTGTCGCTGATAGATGGAATTCACTCTGACGCCAATGGTAAGGGTCGACAGTGGCCCGCTGAGGTAAAGCCAGAGATTGAGCTCTTGCCTGAGGACAGCAGCAATGATCTTCATTTCGATGTAACAGGAGGGTTAGTGATACAAGCAGAAACGGTTGGTGACAGGTTTTTACTTTGCATCCGACTAGGGTGTTCGTGTCGTTCTCTCCGGGCAGCACCGAACAGAAATTCCTGAAGGAGTGAGTTTATGCAACCGCCCCACTGTCAATTGATTTACTCCATTTCAGCTACAGTCTGGTGTATCGTGTATTAGCATCGATGTCAGCAGTGGACCATTCCCCGGTGCAATTGAACGCCTTGATCTTATACAGTCTAAGTGTTAGCCGTAGTTCTCTCCATACCATAATAGCAGAACATTATAAGCATCAATTGTAAGCAAGTTCCTCAGCGAATGGTATCAGTTCAGTCTCTTGTCAGGTTCCGGGAGCTCCGAACGATTATGGGATCGGCCGATGCTATTGGGAATCCTATAGGTCTGTTCAATCACGTCAGTCAGGGGATTTCAGATCTATTCTACGAGCCTTACTCGGCCATTATGAATGTGAGCACATCTTTGGTCAGGTCGAAGTCGAAGATTCATTCGAGGTCAGGTTCAAAGCGCTGGTGATGTTCTGAGTGTTGCTGGTGGTACGGCGAAGGGAGCGCGGTCGTTCGTGCGGAATACAGCTTTCGGTGTGTTCAACTCCTTGGGAAAGATAGCAGGGACAGCAGCACAGACCATGAGTGTCCTCACACAGGACGACGAGTGGGTCCTCTTAGAGGCTTCATTTGTTATTATTGTTATTATATCGTTCAGATTCCAGCAAGATCGCCAACGGTTTGCTCAGCGTAATAGGCCAGTCCATATGGGGGACGGTGTTGCTGTTGGTGCCGCATCGTTTGGTAGAGGTATACTCTCGGGGATCTCTGGCCTTGTATTGAAACCGGTGGAAGCGGTTGAAGAAGAGGTAGCTGGCTTGAGATTGGGATATCGACAATATGAATTTTATGAGAGTATATGTGGAGTATAATGCCATGCAATTGTGATAATATATGTGGACATTATGAATAATGTGAAAGTTCCATATCAAAATGTGAATTTGTGGTCGTCCACTACGCAACAGGAGCCGATGAGAATGCTCACTGGAATCCATAGTGGCAACCCTTTTTTCCCTGTCGGTTGCATACAATACGCGCAGTCTGAACATTACACAATTGCACAGTGCCGTAGTTTCTCATCTGAGGGGAGTTGGGAGCTGAATTCTTGAAGTAGATGCTATTGAACTCCACGTCCCTAGAACCCGTATCTTGAAAAAATCGAGACGAAATAATCGAAAATTCTATCTGAGCTTTGTTAGGGTATCAACGGCCTCGGCAAGGGTATCCTTCGTGGTGTGGGAGGACTAGTTACCAAGCCTATGGTGGGCTTCCTGGACTTCACTCGTAGCACGGCAGAAGGCGTTACTGCTACTACTGGTGCTGCTACGTCGAAGAATGCTGGAGCTATGGCTAAGAGAATGAGGCTTCCTAGAATGCTCTATGGCGATGACATGGTTATCAGGAGGCACGAGGGGGATGTTATACTGGTCATTGGTGAGCTCTATTGTTTTAGTTATAATCCGGAGCATGCGGTGCTGCGATCCTTCTTGGCAACAGTAGACGGTGTACCGGCGGACTTCCCCTATGCAGCTCATCAATTCGACGAGCAGGGCCGTCGCCTGATAATAACAGGGAATAGGTAAGGAGCGTTTTTTGTTGGGCAAATTCTTCGAAAATTCAGCGTTTCTCGTAAACGAATGAGAGTTTTTAAGCATAGATACCATGATTAGCTTTTATACATTGGACTGAAACCATCGTATTCGAAATCGTTGCTGGTATATGTTTTTTTTCCGAATTTGAAAAATAAGTTCCTTAGAAAGTGTTGTTTGTATCTCCCCTTGTAGTGGTTGTGGTAGTTACGTATTGGTGATTGACGTGCCGACACATCGTCTGGAGTCAGCCCGACCGTTGTGGCAAGTGAGGGTTCCTGCAGTAGCGGCAGCGGCCAATACATCGTCAAGCAGCAGTAGCAGCAGCAATGCTGTTGAGACGTATCTGCCGCCGCCGGAGTGATTTTTAAAACACCTCTAGAGAAATATCATTGCTGAAATTTTGTCTCTGGTTGTTAAACAATGTGTGTTGGGTTTGTTACTGAATCGCACTCGTCGTTTTATAAGTCAGTCGGTTTGGATTTCCCGTGTAGTATGTCGAAAAGGCCTGTGTCAAGCATGAGTTCGCAGGAGGGGGAGGAGGAGGAGGCCAGCAGCACCTCTGCTATTGAGCAACAACAACAACACAAGTAAAATTGTTACGATGGTGATCAAATGAGTATGATAAAATGTGATCGCTGGTAACTAACTGCTGTTTTTTTGTCGCTGGTGTTTTCGACGAGATCAATTTGGTGATTATCTTATCGTAAGCTCTCCAATGGGAGACAGGGTGGTAACTGAGATAGTGGAGAGTGTGATTGCTGCTGTTCAGGAAGGCTAAGGTATCCCATCAGGAGAAGGAAGAGGACGTCTTACACGGCCTCAAGAAGGGCATGGAAATTTTGGTCAGGTGGGAGCTGATTGATGACGAGGTGAGTTTTTCGCGATCATCATCAATTGACGCTCCTATGTGTATGGTACTGGCATTGCGAAAAGTATATGCTACTTAGTGCTGGTGGAGTATATCTTTGACGAAGACTCTCCGCTTTCTTCGGTTGAGCTCTGGAGTTTCCAAAGCTGATTATACAAGTTTGTATACAAATTCCAGTAGAAGTGTACAGAAACCAATGAGAATTATCAGAAAATCTCCTCAAAACTCTCATTTCGTTACTAATACATGTAGTTGGTCGTATGCATATTTCCCCACACTGCTTCTTAATACAGGTTGATTCTGACGATCCTGATGCTGTATCGAGAGTATGGTGGCCTGCAACGGTGGAGAGCATCACAGCTGATACAGGTGATCATGCCCGACTCTTGTCTGTGGTACTATCATAAGTAGGTGATGCTATCCTGAGCTATACGGGGCACGGTGCTGAATTCCCGGCAGAGACTGCCAAGGTTAGAGTGGAGCCAGACCATACGCTGCGGGACAGCAAAGGGGTACCGCAGGAGTGGAAAGACGTCCCACCGTATAAGCCAGGGGAGGAAATGGGGGTGAGCATGGTGCAATGTGTAGGAGATGAATAGGGTCCCCTTAGGGTGATGTCACATGCCCTAGGGGGCACGCCTCGAGACTGTTGACTTGGGCAGCTAGAAGTGAAACGTTGAAGGCTGCTGGTGGCAAAGGTGAGACGATGTGAATTTCGGTTGGCTAGGTTTGTTATGGGGCGCTAGATGACGAGCCGTTGATATGCGATGTGTGCCTCACCATAAGCAGTGACCCTTCACAAGTCATTACACACTGCACAGACTGTGAGGACTGGGAGGCTTGTCGGTAGTTATGCTCTTTCACTGCAGAATTGATGTAGTAGAAAGGTACTGTATTGCAGCGTGGAGACGGACGGGGGAATGGCCGCTGGACGGAGACGTTGAAGTGAATCTACACACATTAGCGATGGAGATATGCTGTACCTCAGAAACAACAAGCTGAGGAGACTTCGATGGAAATCGCTGAACTCATGGAGATTGTTGGCAGCGAGATGAGTAATGGTAGGCT